AGCAAAGCAGCTCTGGGTGCCGAGGTTAATGGGTCAGGTAACTTTGATGCTTTTGTTCCATGTATTTCAAGATTGTCTAAAATTTACCTCCAAAATGTTATTATGCATTACTTATATCATGAAAAACATGCAAGAAATAAAGCAGAACAATGAAGTCAAACAAAATAAAAGATATTATTCAAAAAGCAAAGAACATAGCTATCACTAATATAGTTGCATATTTTAGAATTCTTAGCCAATATAAGAGAAAAATTTTAAAAAGATGTTAATTTTCAGAAAATGTATTCCACTTAGAAATTCCAAGAAAATTTACTGAAAAACTACTTGATCTTACAAGAGAATCTAGCAAAGCAGGCAGACACAAATTCAATACAAAATTATCAATAGGTTTGCAATACCACAGGAATGACAAACTTTAAAATGTTACAATTCCTAGCTGCAAAACTTCCACAACATAAAGATGTCAGTTCTAATTGTATTAAAATGTAATTTCAATGCAGTTTAAATAAAAATCTCCACAGGATTCACTATGTAACGCAGTAAGGTCACTCTAAAACACAACAGCTGGGAAAGCTTTTGAAAATGAACAATAAATCAAGTCATAAAGCTAAAGTAAGTAAAAAAGTTGGTGAAGGGTGTTGTTTTTGCTTCCTATCAGAGAAATTTCCAAACATACACAAAAGTATAGAGAATGTTAACATGACCCACCTACGTGGACATCATTCAACTTCAATAATTAACACTGCAAATCTGTTGACTCTATCTCTTTGTTTGTTTTGCTAGAATATTTTAAAGCACATTAGAGACATCACATCTGTTCACCTGTAAATAATTCAGAATATATGCCTAATAAATAGTGACTTTAAAAAAATTAGTTACAAGGCAATATGCAGTGGCTTATGCCAACACTTTGGAAGACCGAGATGGGAACCCAAGAGTTCAAGACCAGCCTGGGCAACACGGTGAGACTCTGTCTCTACAAAACAGATACACAATTACATACACAGCAAACTAGTTATACTTGATAAATGTCATATAATACCTCGTTTGGGCCGGGTGCGGTGGCTCACGCCTGTAATCCCAGCACTCTGGGAGGCTGAGGTGGGTGGATCAACAGGTCAGGAGTTCAGGACCTGCCTGACCAACATGGTGAAACCCC